CTTCTCCTTCTCCTTCTCCTTCTCCTTCTCCTTCTCCTTCTCCTTCTCCTTCTCCTTCTCCTTCTCCTTCTCCTTCTCCTTCTCCTTCTCCTTCTTCTCCTTCTTTCTCCTTTCTTTTCTTTCCCCCTTCCCCTTAAAGCACTATTATTACTAGATAAGGAAAGGGCTGAACATTACCCTTTCCTCCCTGAATGACTATCTGTGCTTTTGTTAAAGGGCTTCAAATGATTTTCAGATTATTTTGCAAATGACCTTGGCCTCATGGCATTTCTTTTTCCATTTATGTGGCCTTCAGTCTGTCTTATTCAACAATAAAATGCTTTTAGGAATCACTATTTCAGCTGTTTACAGTATATTTTTGGGKTTTTAGATCTCTTCAAACACCAGTGAGTTTTTGTACCAGGACGGGACCATTCGCTTTGTATTTGTTGTCCTGAAATTGCACCAAGCAGTTTCAGGACCTGCTAGTCTATTTCTGTGCACTACGTGTCCAGCTTTGGCTTTGTTTTTCTTAATATATTTACTGAAACTAGCCGAGTGAACAGCATTTTTAATACCAGTTCCAAGGAATAATCTATTTCATTGGGTTCCTACCTAATGTGCTGTGGCAGATGGTTTTCATGTCAGCAGAAATGCTCTTTCAAGTTGTGAAATATGATTTTAATTTTTTTTTTTTAAATAAGACACTGAAATGAAATTATATGTGGAGTTTCAGGAAAGTCRCAGAATCAGAAAATTATTAGGGATGGAAAGCACCTCTGGAGATCATCTTGTTCAACCCCCCCCTGCCAAGGCAGGGTCTCCTCAGAGCAGGTGACACAGGAACTCGCTGGTGAGGCTTGCTTACTCACTCCAGAAAGTGACAGACCATTTTCCCTTGTAGCTTTTCTGGAAGAACTTCTAAATATGTTTTTATATTTAATTTTCACTTTTCTCATGGCCGTAGCTCCTGTTAGGAGTATCCCAGGAACGCTTTAGATCATAACTGGTCAGGCAGCAGCAAGTGCAGGAGCTGAGGGCAGGTGAGTGCAGAGCTGAGGATGATGATGAGGTGAAGGACGCTGCTGTCCCCAACTTAGCCCAGTCCCACAGTTCCCAACCAGAGGAGCACAGCGGGGACAGGGGTGGTGTCCAGGGCTCTCCATGGTCAAGGGATGCCAGCCCATGGTGACAGGCATATCTGAGATGACTGCAGAAGACAAGTCAGCAAAACTGAGAGCAGCAAGATGTGGGGCTGAGCACAGGACCCAGGGGTGCAGACAGGACCCAGGGACACGGCCTTGAGCTGAATTGCTGCTTCTGAGCTGAGGCCATGGGCCCCCAAAACAGCATCTCAGTGCTACGTAGCAGCCTTGACCCCAGGTATGGCTGTACCACATCAGAGCTGGCCTGGAGGACAGGCAGCCAAGCCCCTGGGCGTGACAGGAGAAAGCTGTGGGACCTGTTGTTGCACTCTGAGCCCTGCAAATGTTTCCTTCATTGCACCTTTAGTACTTCATTACACTCTTCTTCATTATTTACTTTCTGTAATAGAATGATTGTTTCAAATATAATTTCTTGTAATTGAAACAACTTTGAGATTTTTTTAAATAGTGAAATTTGGGGTTATTTACTTCAAATACTTAACTTTAGATGATTTAAAGTACTATATACTAGAAATAATTTCTAATGTAACTGCCAGCAAATTTCCATTTTTTCATCTGCTGCAATTGAAGTGAACTTTTCAGCCATATTCCCAGAGCATATATTTTAATTTCTTCCCTGTCTTATCCTCTCTCAGTGGTAATCAGTTATTTAGAAATTTAACTTCCATCTGTTATGCTTAAATAGAATTGGGAGAGGGGCAACCTATACAAATGGAGAAAAATAATTTCAAAATGACCTATCTACATTTTCAAAGCTTTTTAGARGGACAATTCCACTGCCACTAGCAAGAGTTGTGTTTCTAACACTCTGATGTATATACAAATACCTCCCCCACTATATTAAAAAAATCCCATATCAAATTCCTGACCTTTTCTATTTGCTTTTGCTCATCCACATCATCTCTTGACTAGAGCTTGYCTTATAAGACTCAAAACTTGTATTTGTTGACTTTAAAGAACATGCCTTACAAATTATGACAGCCAGCCAAAAAAGAACCCCAAACCCTAATTTCAAATCAACATTTAGATTAAATTCATGGAAAGCTATAAGCACATTTTGGCAGGAAAAAAAAAGAAAGTAGATCAGGGCAGGTACACAACAGAGTGTGAACAAATGTCAAATGAGACAAGGTACAAAATGGTTCTATTTATAAAAACAAGGGGAAATAGGCTTTAAGCAGGAAGCTGCCTTGCAGAGGGATCTCAGATTGGAGCATTGGGCAGTGATTWATAGGATAAAATTTAACAAGTCAAAATGTTAGATTCTGTACCTAGAGGGGGTGACAGTTTCTAATACTAAAGTAATAAGACACATTAAATATAGAATATTTTTTGAGCAGAATAAAAGTGGTGGTGTTAAAGGAATAGCATAATTTAGATATWATTTCAGTGATAAATTATTATATACCTACTAGTTGTTGCCCTTCCTAGGTATTTGTCACTTGAATTCTTCAAGATGTGTTGGTTTTGTAGTGCAATATGTAATAGCAGGTAAAAGCTAAGTGCATTTGTGTATTTAACTCTAAATACAGATTGTATTTACAGGATATATTCACAACTTACTTTGGAATCTCAGATGACAGATTTGATTGAGCATTTTGTTCCAGTAATCTCAGTGTAGCTCTCATAAGAAACAGACTCATTTCTTTAGCACAGAAACCACATGATTCAGTGATATTTATGTGATTCATAGCAGCTCTATAAAAGTTCATTAATTGCATTCTGTATGTTAGTTTGAATGGATATGGACATACCAACTTAATTTAGTATGGAAAGGGAAAAGAATAGCTGAATATAAGCCATCCATCAACAACTATGCAGGAGTCACTGGGAGACAATAAAATCTATGAAAAAAATCCTTAAGACATAAGCAATRACAGAAGAATGACATTTTTAAAAGAACCTTTTCAAGAGGGGTTTCTGCTTGTGAAAATTAATATGTGCCTGAAGATTCTGAAAGTGCTTAACTAATTTACTGACAAAAGTTGATAAATCCTGACATAATACAGACGTAGATGAAGAGTACTGCTTCTAAATATTTTGTTTCTAGTTTAAACTGAAAGCTGCTCTTTTCTTAAGCAGCTTATGAAATCACTGAAGGAAAGAACAGAAGGAGTTTGGATTTAGTAGGATTTGCCAGGTAAACCAATTGATATGTCACACTGTAGGCTGAAACCTTGTCTAAAAGTGTAAGAATCCTGTATGAGGAAACCTGAAAATTAAGGGTGGTGTTCTGGGRGAATCCAGAAAGGAGATAAAGGTGCCATTAGGCTTGTTTTTTTAACACTTACAAGTTAGTCTTTCTGTGTCAGTCTCTAAGGATGACAGAAATTAATAGTAGAAATTGGAAAAGATCATGGAGTCCAACCTCTAATCCAGCACTGCCAAGTCCACCATAAACCACATGCCCCAGCACTGCATCTACACATCTCTGAAATACCTCCAGGGATGGTGACCCCACCACTTCCCTGGGCAGCCTGTTCCAGTGCTTGACAAGCTTTTCAGGAAGGAATTTTTTCCTAATGTAGGAAATTTTTCCTCATGTTGCACCTCACCTGGTGCAACTTTGAGGCCATTTCTTCCTGTCCTATCCCTTCTTATTTGAGCGATGAGACTGACCCCCATGTGCCTACAACCTCCTTTCAGGCAGTTGTAGAGATCAATAAGGTCCCCCCTGAGCCACTTTTTCTCCAGGCCAAACATCCCCAGCTCCCTCAGCCATTCCTCATCACGCCTGTGCTTCAGACCCTTCCCCAGCTCCATTGCCCTTCTCTGGTCTTGCTCRAGCACCTTTCTTGCAGTGAAGGACCCAGAACTGATTTGCACAGGATTTGAGGTGTGGCCTCACTAGTGCCAAGTACAGGGGGCAATCACTACCCTATGGCATAGAATTTCCTTTGTACTGAAGCATAAAAATATAAAGAGATTTAACAGCATGTGGATGGTTTCTAGCTCTAAGACAAAAATACTTCTTGGTTAGCTTSTTTTTACTTACCAAATGAAATAGTCTGTTGTCTGTGATCTTGTCTGTAATTTAAAAAACCTAGTAAAACTTGAGACTGTGCATTTCATCTGCTGCTATATAACCTGCCACAGTTGCCTCAGTTGCTGTATTATGCCATACTGACATAAGGATCTAATAAAAATTATGCTGGTTAAAACAGGCAAGTTATAGGGGAAAAAAAAGCTCTAGAAGCATAAATTTGATTTTGTACCGTCTGAAGAGATTACAAGAAACAAACCGTGATTTGTATTCATCTTGAATTTAAATTATTTTGTGATAGTTTGATAATTTTAGTTCTCAATGGCACAATATGTGCTAACAATTGTAYAAGT